ATATAATTATCCCGTATATATATATATATATATATTCATGAATTATTCACACAAAAACAAATGCAAAGGTTAATGATTTAATTGGCGAGAAATCCATCGTCGCAAACAATTCAAATAATATACAAAAACCTCCGAATCCGTTATGAATGAAAAGATCCTTGTTTCTATAAATTTCTGCCGTATTAGTTCTTATTTTTACTACAAGCTTTCGTCTGTTCCTACAGACATCTTCCGGTATGGAATAGATGTTGTTCTTGTTTTTTCTCTTAGTAATAAGAGGACAACGAAAATATATGTATTGTTGTATCCGAAAATGCTATTGGAAATGAGTTATTGTTTTTGGAGCGTGCAATAACAACGCTGAGTTTGATTTTAAATTTTTTACAGTTGTGCGTTCATGTACAAATAAGGTGATAAACGAATTTTTTACTGGTAAATTTTCTGTCAAAGTGGCATGAACTATATTGTTCACTAATTACAGTAATGTCGCACTTATTATTTACACAGTAAACAAGCCATCACCAATGTGATTCTTCAAGTAGTTTAGGTCCCAATGAAGAGCAGAGCTCACCAAATTCGTTCCTGTGAGAACAACTGGTTTCTGATTGCTAATAAGTCTTTCTGCTTGTGGATCATCAAAGCTAAGCCTTGGGACTTCAGTTAATTCAAATGGATATTCATGAAGACTTTCACCTGAACAAGCAAGCAAGCAAGGTACTCTTTCCAACACCACTTATAACAACTGGTTTGACGTTGGTCATCTTTTGAAAGTGTGTAAATCCTACAGATAACCGATAACTAATATGTAATTACTGTAAACAACATCTATTCCATACCTGAAGATGTCTGTAGGAACAGACGAAAGCTTGTAGTAAAAATAAGAACTAATACGGCAGAAATTTATAGAAACAAGGATCTTTTCATTCATAACGGATTAAGAGGTTTTTGTATATTATTTGAATTGTTTGCGACGATGGATTTCTCGCCAATTAAATCATTAACCTTTGCATTTGGTTTTGTGTGAATAATTCATGAATTTGTAAATTGATTGCACGTTTATCGAAATATATATATATATATATATATATATATATATATATATATATATATATATGGGATAACGATATATATTGACAAAATTGTAAGGCAAAATTTGTGACGCATTTCATCCGTTAGAGGAGCGTTCGGTTAGCAAGTCTTTAAACACAATTCTCTATGATTTTCTCTCATTCATTCATATCTGCTCAATGCGTAACCAAATGTAAACAAATGACATCATACATTATGAAATGGACAAAGTCCGACAATTATTTTTCAAGACATTTTTTTATGTTTATACGTTCTTTTTATAGATTCAAAATGAACATTTCTCGGACATTCAGGCCGGTAAATGTTGTTAATACTGTTTATTATAAACAGAGCATTTACTTAAATATTTGTATCTATAAAAAAATGTATAAACATAAAAATGTCTTAAAATAATTGTCCCATATATATATATATATATATATATATATATATATATATATATATATATATATATATATGACTAAAAGTGCTCAAATATGGTGTGTATTAAACTATGAATCTTTTTTTGCTTGAACGAAATCTTCAGGCCATGATTATTGTGTTTAAGAAAGGAAAATACAGTTACAGTAGCCTCTTTATACACACACACACACACACACACACACACATATATATATATATATATATATATATATATATGTGTGTGTGTGTGTGTGTGTGTGTATGAACCCATCGTATCATTTAATATAATAAAAAGAATAGCCTACTTGTAGTCATGACCTTTATCTTTTTCTTCTTATCAATTCTCAAAACAGACTCTAATGTCATTTTTCGGGATTGCAATGATGAAATTCGCTTTGAGAAAAGCAGAAGTCGCATGGAGGCAAATCTGGACTCCAAGCATGTAGTAGTGACAAAACTGAAAAATGTGATACTTTGCAAACAAAAAAAACAAAAAACAAATAAAACCACAAAACCGAGACGTAAACCTTATGGTGAATGAAACAGTCAACAGCACAGAAACTCATATCTCGGTATTGCTGAGTGAACAACCCTAAGAATGAATGTCAACCCTAAGAATGAATGTCTGTTTACCAATACGAATATTAAGGATGCATCGCTAGTTAATGAGATACTCTCAATGAGTGGCTTCTTTCCAGACAGCTCACAATCTATCTGTCCAAGTCAGAAAGGATACAAACAGATCGGCAGTTTAAACAGGTGGATAAGGGGAAATAAGTTTAAGAAGATTTGGTTTTGTGAAGATTACTGATTCATAGGGTTAACATACCTTGCAAATCCGCTCTCAAAATCCGCGATATTACATGTGTTTGAACACCGACCTTTCAGAAATAAGAAACGATAATCAACCAGCGAACAGTCTTCGGTAATGCGTTGTTTTCCAACTTCACTCGTTTTGTGAAAAGTTAACCTGAACTATGTCCTCATGATCGGTTCTTGTTTAGAGTAACGAAAGAAAATAATTAAAGAATTGTATTTAGGTCTTCTAACAGACGAAGAAAGTGTTATTGAGTGCAAAGAGGAGAGGTTTTGCACCAAATGACCCTTGATTAAAACGTTCACACGTTGTTGAGAAAAAAGTATTGATATTTTGTTTACTTTGGTCATGGTTTTCGTTCGCCATATATGCATTGTAACGTCTTTGAGCAATCATCACAAAATATATATATATATATATATATATATATATATATATATATATATATATATATATATATAAACGTATATGGATGTTTCAGTGGGTGTATCAAAATACATTTACAAACTTTGCGGGTGGGTTCCTTATACCAAAAAAGGACAAAAATCCATATAAAATATGCCCACAAATCCTTCGTTTTTGAGTTTGAAGAAAGTTTACAGTAGATGTCGCTGTGTTCTCACGTGGACTGAGTTACATTTGTCATTTGTGTACATTTGTGTCTAGTCTCTCTTTAACGTTTAACGAATGTAGTTGTGAATTAACTGAGAAGTGTCCCGTTTCACAATGGCAGGATATTTTACATATGCTCGTGGGAATGGTAATAGACGCGAGGCTTCATGGCTGTATCAGATTGCGTTTTCAGACCGAAAGCAGCCGTCATTCAACCTTTGCTGCTGTTTATCCTCGCGTTGTGAGGCAGAATCCGTTGCGCCACAAGCTATTTTGTATTGTATCCCTCATTGTACATTTAACGGTGAATAATAATAACCCCAAAAGGAAGGATTTGTGGACATATGTTTATATAGATTTTTGTTCTTGTTTACTGGAAGGAACTCGCCCCCAAAGCGTGTAAAAGTAATTTTGATGTTATTTTTATATATATATATATATATATATATATATATATATATATATATATATAATCCCATGTAACTTTATGCCTGTTAATTTTTTATTTGTTACGTTTAAACACACCAGATACATAAAATTAATTGAATCCTAGCTTTATAGGATTTTTTATAGCGAAGTGACATATTTTTAGACCACCTTTCTGCGCTAAAATGAAGGTTAGAAATCACAAGTCTTATTTAATTGTTCTTAATTATATGAATTGATTCCTCATGTTACATTTTTCTCTTTTTCTAAAATACTGATGCGATAAATTCATTTAAAGCAATCGAAACTAAATTTACCATTTTGTTTTTGTTTCGTTATCTCTAAAGAAGAAAGCTGTCACTTTAATCTATCTCCAATTATTTTACATGTAATTGTTAATTTTATTATTGAAATATTAATTTCAGATTTTACAAATGAAATGCAAAGCTATTTTTTTATTTAAGGTGAATAAAGGAGAAGAAGAGGAAAAAGAAGAAGAAGAAGAAGAAGAAGAAGAAGAAAAAGAAGAAGAAGAATTTAATAGAATGAGGTTATGTTCGAAAGAAGATCATGATCTTAACTCATGATTGCATTGATTTTTACTAATAAAAAGCGAACAATAAATTTGAATAAAAAAGGTTTATTTCTCACAGTCATAGGCGATTGTATGAAATAAAAGATGGAATCAGACTGACTTAAAGATGGAAGATTATGAAAGTCAGGTTACACTCGTTGAATCACGTTTCTTTACAAAGAATATTGCCACCAAAGAATATTTGAAATAAAACATATACACACTCGCACATAAACGCGCGCGTGCACACACACACACACATGTACACACACACACATGCACACACACATATACAAGATGCATTGGGTAAATTGTCGCCATTTTATATTTTCAATTTTGCACATGCGCGTTGTTTTTGATTCTGTCGACTGTAAGAGTATTATAGGGTCAATTGGTCACCGTCTGTAAAAAATGAGCACCATGATGCAATTCATTCCGCCAGAAATTTGGAAACAACAGGTTGTATTGCTTGGCATTCGCACCGGAAGCTCCAATACGAACATTTCAGAATGTTTGCGTATCAGCGCAGTGGATTCGAACAGACTTGCATGAATCTAATTGTGAGTAATCATCCAAGTCAAAAGGTATGGCAGTTCGGAAAATTCACTGTGATTTTTTTTTTTTTACTTCACATATTATTTTTAGTGTCTTATTTTATGGCAGACGTAATGGACACCATTTAAAAATAAAACAAGACGGCGTCTGTTTCAAACACGGATATCCACTAAAAGTATTCAGTGCTGTCTTGTGTTTCTGTTTGAGTGCTGGACGATCTTCCCATAGAAAAAACTCGATAGAAAGGTGGTTCTACAGAAGGATGCTGAGAATACCATGGACTGAACGACGAAGTTCTAGAGAAAATGGAAAGAAAAATATATATTATTATTTTAACGTTATTTTAGTGGATATCCATATTTGAGTAGACCCTCCGTTTATTTATGAAACAGTAGATTTATTTTCGTCTATCGTTCTTGGAGAAATATTAAAGAAAACGATGCGCCCTCCGGTAAAATTCGACCCCCACCCACCAAACAGGAGACACCGACGTAGATCCGACGTGATTTAGATCAATTCTGCCACGAGAGAGAGAGAGAGAGAGAGAGAGAGAGAGAGAGAGAGAGAGAGAGAGAGAGAGTGAAGTAGATAAGCAAACAAACGAAAGCAAAGAAAAAAAGATAACAAAATGGAATAAACAAAAAGAAGCGGACTAAAATGAAACATTAAAGAAAGAAGGAACATGTTTTATTTTTAAAAAAATGGAATTTAAGGACAAAAGGCAACGGTAGAAAAGATATTGAAACATTTAAATGTCATTCATTTAATAATTCCTATCGTCCAATCAGTTTTTGTCACAATTGTCATGATTACAAGCTTGAAAAGTAAAAAAAAAAAAACGAATCAATAGAAATTATAATTATTATTTTCGCCTTTTGCAGCTGTTTTGACCGCTACTATGTCTTTTTAATTCCCAGGTTAAGTTACTTTTAAAAAATATTCAATTCATTCTTTTTATTTTATAAGTACCAAACAGCAAACAAAGAACGAAATTAGAAAAGCCTTTCATTAAAAATAAAATAACAATCTGGCGGCCTATGTCAATGAAAAAAAGCCATTGTTTCGAATACCAATTTAAACATCTTTTCCAAAATCTGTCAAAAACATTTTTATGCTCTAACAGTGATTCGAAAACGGTGCGGCGCGCCTTATAAGTGCAGAGGAAGAGGATAGCAGGTGAGGCGGAAGAGGATAGCAGGTGAGGCGAAAGAGGATAGCAGGTGAGGCGAAAGAGGATAGCAGGTGAGGTAGAAGAGGATAGCAGGTGAGGCGGAAGAGGATAGCAGGTGTGGCGAAAGAGGATAGCAGGTGAGGCGGAAGAGATAGCAGGTGAGGCGGATTGATTGAAAAACAGTCAAAGAAACAGTTTTAAAACATTCATATACCAAAAATAAATATGATTTCAAAAATTAAAATATTATTATGTATTACTTGTAATTGCATACGTAAATCCCAGTATAGATACTTATAAATAATTATTGGCCGATTTTATCACTGATATTTTTGCATTATATCAAGTCTTAAGGATATAGTAACTAAGATCCGCAAATTGGAGGAGAGAGTTATCAATAATAATGTTCTGACTTTGAATCCACAGTTATCTCCCTTTAGTCTTTTCACTGTTTTTTTTTTTTTTAAATTTTTAAATGAATTTTTTATCATATAAAATTTGGCAAGGGGCGAGCAAATTTGAATTCCGAAAATGCGGCCGAGAGAAAAAAAATTGGGAACTGCTGTAACCATTGAGCTGACGTTGTCACAACGATGGCATTGATTTTACAATTACTTGGCTCGATACCAGAAGGAGATTTCTCTTCTGGAATGTAAGCTAACATTTCTATGTCTGATAAAAATTCTATAATGATTACCTTTAGTGTATCTAAGAGACAAAGCTGTCATTATAGCTGGCTAGCTAACTGATTATCTATCTATCTAACTATCTATCTATCTATCTATCTGAGTCTGTATTTATCTATGTGTCTCAGTTTTTCTTCATACATACAAAGTTTAGTCGGTCACAGCGGAAAATGTGTAAAATTGTATCTCGAATCGAAATCTTGGCATTTTACAGAAAATTATCACTCCCATGGACTACGATACAAATCCAGTCTGAATAAATATATTCATTTTCTATACTTGTAAAATTAGTTTTAGTTCCTTTAAAAATACAAAATCTTCCATAAACAAATGAATCCCTTCAAGATGAACGTAATTTATAATATAATCAAGGATCAGTTGTTCATTTAATGTCCTGTGGTTTGGCGCAAGGCATTTGTTAGTAAATAAATTTCATTTCATGTTACATTTTTATGAGAAGAATTCAATTATAATGATATTGTTGCAGTTGATGTCCTAATGAGCTTGATTCAAGTGACAAAATTCTTGGCTTAATTTAAGGGAGACACACCCATTATCAAATTACAATTTTATTTTGCTTCTACTCATTCCTGCAAAACGTTTTCATAACGTAAAAGATGAAAAAATGGAATATGTAAATATTGTTAGGGAAGAGATTCCAAAAAGATCTTTGGCTCTTATAAATACAGAAATTCCTCTTGCTGCAATTGATCTGGTCCTAGGTGAAAGGAGGCAGTCCAGGCAAATGATGCTTGGTCAAATGTGTCTCAGATTTACAAGACACTGTTGGGTCTTGTTCGTTTGGACTATAAAATTCTAATGTTCTTACAAATATCCACGTCTATTCCAGTAATTACCCTTGCCTACACCAATAGATACGTATATTCTAATTTGAGAACACTTGGGTTAGAGAGAAACGGCTTGTTTGAAGATCGTGGACGCCATGAATAGGACGGCGACTGCAATATTCTTACTTCAATGGACTCTATAGTAAAGAGAAATATTTTCTTTATGATTTAATCATTTTTCTTAAAATAATGTTCGGCATAACAAGCAATGAACATTTCCAATCCTCTAAACAAGGCTGATTGAGTATCACATATATACTGTACAGGGCTGCTAATGTACCGTGTCTATTCAGTACGTGAGCAATGATGGCTCTCCACAACTTCCTGTTTTTTTTCAGCTTTGAGTAAGGTTTTGTCTTTTTGCTATACATTTACAGCATTGTTCTGCCAATCATTTACACAAACTCTACAGCTAGGGTCATTCACTGCTTTCCTCTGCTCCTTTTCTCTTCAACATATCCCATGAGTGTCAAATCCTCCAAGACCTCATTTCCCATTACCTACCATAAAAATTTAAATAAATTCTTTATAAATCTAATTCTAAGTGTCTATTTGTCTCAATTTTGCTTAAAACTTCGCCGTTCCTCTGATATTTAGTTCTCAGTATCATTCTGTAGAACAAAACTTCTACAAGTTTTTTCTTCATAAAAATTTGTCCAGCAAATGCTGGAGTGCCATATAAAAGGGTCGTTACTGCAAAACAGTTCAGCACTGTTTTCTTTATTTCCCGATGAATTTTCATGTTTCTTAATACGTTGCTTAGCTTTTGGAAAGTACCTTTCGCTATTCCACTCAACATTCGGATTTCGGTGACACATTTCCCCTACTTAGTAATCTTAATTCACGTCAAATATTTTGAAACGTTTGTTTTGCACGTTTGTTTGAGTAGAACTGGCAGTAAATCCTATGCACCCAAAGATATTGTTGACAGACTTGAATATTTGAAAGGGTAGATCTTAAAAATAATACAACTTGGATATCGCACGTTTTTCCTTGGAAATAAATGGATAGAAAACAAAGCGGTAATAAAGAAGAAGTAGCGTCAATTTAGTATATTTTAATTGAGATTGACAGTTAATACTAACAGTAATCATGATGCTGACACAGGTTTCGTTTTTAACGTAGCAGTCATTACATTGGGTCCCTATATTTTTTAATCATTTCATACCTTATAAGGCAATAAAGCCACTAAGACTAAAGGGGTTACTGAGTGAGACAATATGAGAAAAAGAAAACATGAAGAACAATAAAAGAACAGGAATTAAGAAGACAGAAGATAACGATTGACATTGCATTTCAGTATTTGAAGATCAAAGTTGACTGGACGGCAAGAAGCTAGAGGAGGGCTCCACAAGCGATAAGTGCGATAGAAGAAACTGTTGACATAGATCTAGCAATTTCAATTGTAAAATGATGAGACCCTACCGCACTTAAATTCATAAAGTCTAAGTACCAAGGACACAATCTCATGGGAACAATTCCTATGAAAATATTTCTAGAAGAAGCACAGGGAAGCTACGTTACGGCGGTGGGAAAGTGACTGTAGCTGAGATGCCAGATCAGGAACCATAATATTAGAATAAAACTGAGCGAGACGGGTAAATAAAGAAATAGAGACGATAGAGAAAGAAATAGAAAGAACGTGAGAGAGAAATATAGAAAGAGGAACTGAAAATGAGAAAGAAAGAAAGAGAGAGAGAGAGAGAGAGATACAAAATATCTAAAAGACAGATTTATAAAAAATAGAAGAAAAAATATAAATAAATTCGCGATCAATATTCAATAGCCGATATTGAACCTGCCTGATCAATAGGATCGTCAGATGGCCTCTGCGATTGAAAAAGAACTAAATATCGAAGGCACCTATCGGCAATGGTAATCGTTTCTCTCCAGCAGTTTAAATCCATCACCTTCAACTTAACCGCAATGGCGGCATCTGAGTAGATGTGCGAATGACGTGTGAAAGCCGAGAAATTTACGAGTGATACTAGTTTGATTATAAGTATACTAAGAGGCTTTTTCAGTTTTCCAAATTTGTCCTAGGCAACCGTGAACATCCCCGTATGTTATTCACCATTTACAAAACATCTTACCTATATATTAGTTTTCGGTATCCCCTACACTTCAATAGGGCTCTTTGTTTTTCTTTTTAATTAATGGTAAGTAACATAATATCTATCCCTCAATATGGAAGTGAATGCTACGATGAAGAAAAGGCTTGAAGCGATAAAATGGGGTTCTACAGAAGGATTATGAGAATAGCATAGACGGAACATGTAAGCAAGGAGGTAGTTCTAAATAAAAAAAGGGAACTAAAATGACATACTTAAAATCAGAAAGACATCTTTGAGATTTTTGAGACACAATGAGGGAAGGCAGTTTTGATAATTTAATGCTTACAGGACATATTGAAGGAAGGAAGGTCAGAGGTCAACATCAGCTAACCTACCTGATGGGTCTGTCTAAATGTGTGACAGGACTTAGATAAGCAGGAATGGTAAAGTCTAAATATAACTTAGTGTAATAAAAAAAAGATGTGGAGGACCATGTCCTGAAGGAACACGGCATATAAAAAAAAAGAAAGGGAATTATGTAAGCAATGCCGAATAGCAATTGACATTTGGATTTTACAACGGTTGCCATTGTTCCACGGTGAGACATTCAACTTTAACTCTTTTGGTTACCAATTTATTAGGTCAGCATATAGGGCGGGATGATCCCCGTAAACATTAATAAATCTGTATCGCAATCCATCATTGATGCAGTGAATTCGATCCTTACTATTCCCTTGTTTTTAATGGATGTTTGCTAGACAAAGGGTAAGTATGGTAAACAGCCGCTATATGAAGGTTTCATTGATTTAGGAAATGACAAAGATAAAGTTTTACATAATTCAATACCTATACATCATTGTGTGTAATGTTGTTCAGCAAATATAGACAATCAGTTGGTAAGAAAGTCGGATTTATAATCAAAATCTTCGTCAAGTTCATGTGCATGTTTACGTTTTCATAATAATTGTTATAATGAAATTAAACTGTAAAAAGAATAACCATATATTTCCGCTTATTAAAAGACCTCTAAATCCCAAATAATTCCTTTAAAAATTGGGGGTCATCTTACACTACAATTCTAAAAAACAGACCTTAAATTCTGAGTGATGTTTGTTGGTAGGTGATAATAACATACGTGAAAAGATTCAAATTATTAATTAAACTGATATTTAAAGTAATAAAACCATTTCTGCCTTATATATTACAAGCATAACTTCGTAATAAATTGCCTATTCCATGCCAATGAAATCAAAATCTACCCATGCAAGCTCAGCTGAGAAAATGTTAACATCGAGTTACGATTGCCTTCATAGCAAAGGAATGTACTATTATCGTACATTATCCTACTGATATTAGCGGTATTTTGTGATTGTCGATGACGTATAAGTAAATGGCCATTAGTACACCAGGTTGTTTGTAATTGCTTAGATATAGTAAAAGAAGAGGAAGAAGAAGAAGAATCAATATTTGCAAGATATCACGTGATGAAACATAGACAAAACAATGGTTTCCTTCATAGTGACGCGTGGAAGAAAACATGATATAGAATCAGTTTTGTTCTTTCGTTTATTTTGAATTTCTAAGGATACATTAAGTAACAACATTTCCAATAGCATCATCTTTATATAGTCAATAAGCAGTCGTCTTATACTACAGGTATATGATGAATTCATGAAGAATTGTTATATTTTATTTATATTTTATTACCTCGTCTTATCTAATGGTCGACTTATACGTGGAAATATACGGTAAATAAAAACAATGTATAATGGGATTTATTTTTATCGTTGTTATTCATTTGTATATCTACTGGCATTACATATATATATGTAATCCGCCTTCCTAAGTGCTCTACACAGCTTCCTTACCTTTAGAATATGTGAAATGCGCATGGCCATGGTTTCTAAGGGCTTACGACCACACTAATTTGAAACACCTGTTCTCGTACGAACACTAAAGTTAAGCAACGTCGAACCTGATCATTACCTAGATGGGTGACCGCTTGGAAATTCCAGTTGCTGTAAGTTTGGATGGCTCGAAATTGTTAATCGGAGATCAGAGTTCCAATTCCCGTTGGATTCGTTATATTTACTTACAAATATGCGCACAATTGGAAACGGTATGAATCTACATACCCTCCCCGGCTATGGGTTAATTAGTAACACATGTGTCACTAAACTATTATTATCTCAGAAATAAATTCTTACAATCTAAAATATTTTCTGGTTTTAATTAATCTGGAGAGGGTTAACAAGGCGAATCAATTATGGTTTCTAATGAATTATAGTGGAGTGTAAAACTTTACCAAGGTTTTAAGTTCTTTTTTTTTTTTTTAAATCTGGCCGCCAAACTAGGCTTACGGTCAAATTAGGCTGAAACACCGGTTCTCGTTCGATCACCGAAGTTAAGCATCGTAGAGCCAGGTCAGTACTTAGATGGGGGACCGCTTGGGAACACCTTGTACTGTAAGCCCCCAAAGTCCAACCCTTACCTCACAGTCGGTGGGGGGTGTAAACAGTAGTGTCAGAGCTATGCCGCCGGAACTTCGTTCCTGGTAGGGCCACAAAGGCGGACAGGTCTGACACACACGCCGGCTAACAAGGGCTCTGGTGAAAATCCAAGGAGCGTCTGCATCGGTAACCGGCGGCTTCTGGTCGTTCCTGTCTCTGCGTCTGTGGGAACCCCGCGGCAAGCAAGAACGTTATCCGAGTAGGCCTGGGTACCCTACTTCTGTAATTTATCCCAAGAATCTTCTTCTCATAACAGGAAGAAGCCGGCTCAATCCGCCCAGGGTGAATGCCGCATCAGTACAGTACAAACTAGTCTAGATACCAACATCTGCCTTCCTATTTCACACATAGCCGTGAGAAGAGCTGAATGCATAACTTTCCAAAGGCCATTAGTTCAACGAGAACAGACTCAGCTGGAATTTAATTCCGCTTCAACAAATGCATTATATGCACGATTAATTGTTGGTCCTTCAATATTAACTTACTAACTGTATGCCAATCTGAAATTTTATACCCATTAATACGCTAAACTACATCAGGTATTTTGACTGACAGGTCATTTAAAGATCAACGTTTTGTTGTATAACCAGTAGCCCGATAAAAAAAAAATGCAGTGAGGTCAGATTTGATGCCTGGAGATGAGCTTGCAGTGTAAGCACGTTTGATCAAAGATCAAATGAAAAAAGTAAACACACCACGCAAAGGCTCCGCGCAGACTTCCGGTTTCAAACATATTTCAAATCAATAAAAATAAAATCAGCTCCCGCCAATAAATACACATAAGCTTCTGGAGGCTGCAGAAAGCCATCTAAACCAGACATCCATTCAACTCAGCAAAAACACTGACAGCGGTAAATAGACCCGAGTCAAACTCGTCGCCCTGTCTTTCTCACGAGAGCAGCAGTGGACGCCATTTGAACTCGTCTCCCAACTGCACTTTCTCCCTTCCTCACTGAAAGATTATGTTCATTTCCATTTCATTCAGAGAGAAGAACTTTCTAAATGCAATTTCTATTTCGTGATAGTAGTTACAATTAAGAATTTGTGTGTTTTAAGTTAAATATATATCGTTATTTTATTTGAACACGCAGTGAACTTTTCTTTGATTTTTTTTATTCAACAAACGGTGACTCATGGAATCTTTTCCTAACAATCTCAAGACATCGGTCTACGACTTCCAGTCCTTTTGTGACATAAAATTTCCATTTAAAAACTGACTCCGACAGGAAAGTACCAAATTGCATTATTTTTTTTGAAATCGCTTCTCTCCCATTTCAAATGCAAACGGCAATAATCAGCGATAAAATAATTTTGCAACAAGTCTTGGTGGATATACAGGGGATATAATGAATCTAAGTAAAGAACGAAGCAATATGTTCTCCAGCTATGTCAGTAGGGGAGACTAGGCTCTTCCGCCTTGGTTGGCATCCAATCTAGGAGAAAAGTAACAGAATGCAGAACCATAGGAAGCGCATACCGCGCAGTTAACGAAAAGATTGTGGATTTCACAAGGACAGTATAATCCCGAGTGCATTTGGTTAATTGAAGCATTTACTCAGATATAACTTTGCAAATGAAGTAAATAGTACATTCTTTAGTAAAGCGTAATTAAATAAATAGCCTACGTTTTTCATTCTTCTTAAAAACAAAAAAAAACTTTAGGCCTATTTGATAGATTTATTACAGACAGATCTGTGAAGAAAATGGGAAAGTTTTAAACGGCTTGTAGCGAATCCACCCCTATTCCTTTCGTGTTCCATTCTTCCCACAAACCGCTGCTTTGTGGAACAGACTCTCAAGAGGATGCTCCCTCGACAGGTTACTACACTCTGTTCAAGTCAAGGGTTACCTATTATCTTCCCCATATATTCCCATACCTTAGCTCTTGGGCCTTGTACATGAAGAACATAATTGCAGACTTTGTGCTAAAGAAAATCTTAATAAATGATTAAATACATTTGTTTTTTTTATGAGATACGAGCTAAATATTATATATTTGTCTGACGATCGCAAAAGCGTGAAATCCAGGGTGGCAAACTCATATCAATACTACTAAGTATGTTAGCTCTATCACTGATATTGAGCGCTTTCCAATAAGTGTCGCGCATATATAAATAATATATAGAGAAATTAGACACACACGCACATATATATATATAAAAAACTCTGGAGTCGGAATGCTGAAGCTAACATCAGTCAGCTAAGTGATAAACTTTTTACTTATATATCTCTCTCTCTCTCTGTCTGACTGCCTGTCTCTCTCTCTATATACATATCTATATCTTGTCGGTTCTTTTAATCAAACTTGTATGAAAGAATACTTGCAAAATATGCCAAAATATATATATATATATATATATATATATATATATATATATATATATATATATATATATATATATATATATATATATATATATATATATATAGTAATTCATCGAGTCATCCTCAACAGAATACAGAAAGAACCGGACGTCCGTTTCGTCCTAGTTGGGACTCATCAACAGTGCACGAATCGAACTCGGTCCATTTCGATACAACGCAAGCGTCATACCAACTGTACTAAAGGGCTTCAGTGACGAGGAAGCAAATAAGTAGACTAGATTTAGCTCCGCGACTCACAAATTCCGTGGTGATACTCATGCAACGGGTTTCTTTTCTCCTTAGCCACTCCATCGCAGAGCATTAGCTGGGCCAAGTAAGAATATACGTGAAAGAATTTTTGAGGAATTAGAATAATCATATAGTAATTCATCAAGTCTAGTAGAACCCGCAACAGAACGCAGAAAGGACTGGACAAACTTGCGTATATCGAAACGTTCCGAGTTCGATTCTAGGTAGGGGATGCGCACTGCTGATAAGTCTCAAATAGGACGAAACGGCCGTCCAGTGCTTTCTGCATTCTGTTGAGGTTTCTTCAACACTCAAGTAATTACTATATGATTATTGTAATTCCTCAAAAATTTTTCACACACACACAGACACACACACACACACATATATATATATATATATATATATATATATATATATATATATATATATATATATATATATATATATATATACTGCAAAAGGTTAATCGTCAAATTTGGATTATACCAGGAAACAGTAGTATTAAAAATTGTTCAATACAACAAATTTAACATGTAGAGCTTTTAAATTTAAAAAATTTGTATATCAGACGATTCAGTGAAATCGATTGATCTAATTTTTTGAATATATATATATATATATATATATATATATATGTATGTATGTATATATAATTCTGTGACTTCCGTTAGTTTCTTCCGACCGTCACAGCCTCTAAAAATATCCATACATTGACCGACTTAAACTAAATTTGGAGAAAAGTGTAAACAGGCAAGGAAGTGCAAAATACAACTGGTTTTAGTAATGTGCGTAGAAACCGCGTAGTAGGGTTTTTGTCAAAGTATTTTTTCAAACAAATCAGTTTATTTAAGTTTCCATCGATTGATTTGCGAAATTGAAATTGAGTTTGTAAATCTCGACAAAAATGTCAACGATATTAAATACTATGAAGATTTCGTTAAGCGTATTGCAAAAAATCTAATATATGAGATATTACCTAAAATGACGAGCAATTGAAAATGGAGAATATTTATTCACCCTAACAATTTATTTTTTTACTGTGTCATTCAAAGTAGTCCCCTTGGCCATGTATAAAGAGATATCACAAATGACTCATAAAAATATAGCGGCAAGTTTCCGTACTTCAAATGACCTTGCGCTTGCGTAGAAATTCGTATGTGCCGTATTTTACGGCACAGCAAAGGACCAGCATTGTCAGGAAAACAATTTAAATCAGCGCAGTTTCACTTCTCTGAGAAGATTAGTCTCTTCCTTAAGCACGTATCTTCGTCTTTACAATAAAAAATTGTCAATATTTTTAACAACTGAAGCAATTATAAGTTTGAAACTGTTTCAGTTGAACAGCAATTTGGTTAATATTTCCGACCCTTGAATCAACCTATGAGGGTCTTAGGGAATAATCGGATTGCTGATCTTTTATGTGCCGTGTTCCCTTCCTAATTGATCATGGACCTCCACATCTTCATGTTCTTTGTAGCTCTTAATAAGTTTTGTCTTTATTTCTCCCAAACCCTGTTAAACCATCCATTTACTCAAGCTCATCTAGTACATTACATGCTGCTTTCTACTTTCCTTCATTTTGTCCTGTGTGTATCAGGTTTTCCAAACGCTCCTTCCTCATTATGTGCCCCAGAAATTTCAACCGCCTCTTTCTGGTGTACAAGTTTCCATTTTGTTTCCATTTTCTCCAAAACCTCATCGTTACTCACACGTTCAGCCCATGATATCCTTAAGGTTTTTCTTTAGAACAAAATTTCTGTTGCTTCAAGTCTCCTATTCATCTTATATACAGGAAAACAGATATTGCGTAACAGTTCAGTACTCTTTTCTTTCTTTGTAACGACATTTTTCACCGAAATTTTTCTGTTTTTTTTTAATTCTTTGCTTAGCTTTTAGAATGTTCTTTCACCATCTCAATACGTCTTCACGTCATTGGATCTCAGTGTCGCACTTTCCGTCTTCAGATATTTAAATTTCTCTACCTGTTTGATTTTAGTATCCTCGATTTGTAATTTTGCATTTTGAGCTCATCCTTTTTCTGATAATCATCCATTCTGACTTCTTGTAGTTTAAACTTAGTCCCTTTCTTTTCGCTTGCCATTCTTACCCCCTCCCCCTTGTAGGAGCTTGTTTAGTTTCCTTCCAGTGCCTGATATACTTTAATTTGAGAGTTGCTTGATATCTGAGATAGCTATTTCGCGCATGCGCCAAATGATAGAGTTTCAAAATAAATAAACATTACGAATAAGGATTCTAAATTTGAAAAAAACACTTGCAGAACTGATGACTTATTACCTTTCATTTAATCTTAGTTAGCTCTAATGAGGATGAAACAAAGCTTAGTA